GCGGGTGACCCACTGCACGGAGGCACGCACAGGCCGACACCTGGCCACGTTCTCGCGTCGGCCGGGGTCGAGTCTCTACACCCTGACCGTTGAGTCTCCTCCTGTCCCTGCGTCTGGTCAGGTGGCTGCGTCGGGTCAGGTACTTGCTGCTGCGTCCCGGTCAGGTCCTGAGTCTGCCCCCTGTTCTTGTCGCCTCCTGTCTCACGAGACTCTCCTGTGGCACCACCGTCTTGGCCACCCCTCCTTGCCCCGTCTTCGGAGCATGGCTTCCCGTGTCCTTGTCTCTGGTCTTCCCCAGTCTCTCCCTCCTCTCCCCTCCGGGCCAGGACCTTCCTGTGTCCCCTGTGTCGAGGGTCGCCTCCGGGCTACTCCTCACTCCTCCCACTTCCCTCCGACAGAGGCTCCCCTGCAGACACTTCACATGGATGTGTGGGGCCCAGCCCCCGTCGGTGGGCAGGGTTACGAGCGCTACTTCCTGTTGGTGGTTGACGACTACTCGCGTTACACCACAGTCCTCCCCTTGCGCAGCAAGAGTGAGGTCGCTGAGGTGCTGATCGACTGGATCCGCGAGGCTCGTCTCCAGCTCAGGAAGAGCTTCGGCTCGGACTTTCCTGTTCTGCGTCTGCCCTCTGACAGAGGCGGAGAGTTCTCTTCTCGCCTTCTGCGAGACTACTGTCGTGCACGGGGGATCCGCCAGACCTTCACGCTTCCGGACTCACCACAGCAAAATGGGATTGCTGAGCGCCGCATTGGCATGGTCATGGATGTCGCTCGTACGTCCATGATGCATGCGGCTGCCCCCCATTTTCTGTGGCCGTTTGCGGTGAGGTACGCGGCGCATCAGCTCAACCTTCACCCCCGGGTCTCTCGGCCTGCGATGTCCCCAGCCTTGCTGTGGACGGGGAAGGTTGGCAATGCGTCTGTGTTCCGTGTGTGGGGATCTCGGGCGTTTGTCCGCGACTTGTCTGCGGACAAGCTGTCCCCTCGTGCTGCTCCCTGTGTCTTCCTTGGCTTCCCCACTGACGCCCCAGGGTGGCAGTTTTACCACCCCTCCTCTCGTCGTGTTCTGTCCTCCCAGGACGTCACGTTCGACGAGTCAGTCCCCTTCTAACGTCTCTTCCCCTACCGCACTCCTTCCCTCCCCCCTCCCCCGGACTTCCTTGTGCCGGTTCCCCCCCCGGTAGACCCCCTCCCCCCTCAGGTTCCTGCCCCCTCAGGTGTGTCCCAGGTAGACGCCGTTGACCCGGTCGAGGTTACTGGTGACTCTGGTGCTGCTGCGGGTGCTGAGCCTGGGGGTGCTGACTCTGGGGGTGCTGTGCGTGGGGGTGCTGAGCCTGGGGGTGCTACTGCTGGGGGTGCTGGGCCTGAGGGTACTACTGCGGAGGGTGCCGAGCCTGGGGGTGCTGAGCCGGGGGGTGCTGTGCCTGGAGGTGCTGGGTCTGGGGGTGCTGGGTCGTGAGCTGCTGAGCCTGGGGGTGCTGAGCTGGGAACTGCTGGGCCTGGGGGTGCTACGTCTGGAGCTGCTAAGCCTGGGGTTTCTCCTGCTGCTGAGTCTCGCCGGGAGCCCCTCTCTCCACAGGAGCTGCGCGAGTGGTTCGCTCGCCGCTGGAGGCATGCTGCTGAGTCTGGAGGTGCTGCTGGAGCTGGAGCTGGAGCTTCTTCGACCGTCGAGGGTGCGGGTGCTGCCGGTCCCGGAGCTGCTGGACCTGCGGGTTCTCCCGGAGCTGGAGCTGCTGCGGGCGCTGGTGCTGAGCCTACTTCTGTTGGTCCTACCGCTGGAGGTGTGGGTGGCGCTGGTGCTGTCGCTGAGGGTGCTGGTGCTGTCCCTGCTGCGTCTGGAGCTGCAGCGCGGCCTCGGCCGTACTTCGTTCCGCTCCTGCAGCAGGTTCTTGGTCTTTCTCCTCCAGTAGAGGGTCCACCGCCTGTCCAGTCGCAGTCCCTGCTGGAGCCTTCCTCTCCACTGCCTGCTCCCTCTCCTTACACTGGTCCTACTGGAGGTCTTGCTGAGCTTCGTGAGCCTGCGTCTCGTCCCGCGTCGCCTGTTCGCACTGCTCGCGCTAGTGGTCGCAGTTCGCGTCAGCGTCCTCCTCCTGTCCCTGGCACGCACCGGATGTCTTTGCGTCCGTCCACTGCTCCTCTGCGTGCCCCTTTGCCTTCTCCTCCTGAGTCTTCTCTTCCTGCGCTTGCCGACCCTGGGTCGGACTCTCTTCGTGCTGCCAGTCCTACTGTCACGCGTCTGCTTGCTACTGTCGTCACTGACCCCTCTTTTGAGTCCACTGCTGCGTCTGCTCTAGTCGCTGAGCTCGTCGACTTTGCTGCTCGCTGTCATCTCGACTACGCTGCTGGTCTTATTGCTGAGTCTGCGTCTGTCTGTCCTCCGTCCGTCGGGGGTGAGTGTGCTCTTAGCACGGACGTCCTAGAGGACAGGCAAGAGGAGTTACAGTGTCTAGCGACTGCTTCACCTCATCTCGCGTCTGTACTGCTTGCCCCTGAGGGAGACCCGGATGCACTAGACATCCCGACTCCGCGTTCTTACGCGGAGGCCGTAGAGGGTCCCTACTCCTCTCAGAGGCAGGCAGCTATGGATGCAGAGATGGCTTCCTAGAAGTCCACAGGCACCTACGTTGACGCGGTTCCCCCTCCTGGGGCGAACATCGTCAGTGGCATGTGGATCTTCAGGGTGAAGCGGCCGCCGGGCTCTCCACCTGTCTTCAAGGCACGGTACGTTGCTCGTGGCTTCAGTCAGCGGCAGGGAGTTGACTACTTTCAGACCTTCTCTCCCATCCCGAAGATGACTACTCTTCGGGTGCTGCTGCACATAGCCGCTCAGCGCGACTACGAGCTTCACTCTCTCGACTTCAGCACTGCGTTCTTGCAGGGTAGCCTGCACGAGGAGATCTGGCTTCGCCGTCCACCTGGCTTCACTGGGACTTTCCCTCCTGGCACCCAGTGGAGCCTCCGACGGCCAGTCTACGGTCTCCGCCAGGCACCGCGTGAGTGGCACGACACACTGAGGACTACGCTTGCGGCTCTTGGGTTTGCTCCTTCTACTGCTGACCCGTCGCTGTTTCTTCGCACCGACACTTCCCTGCCGCCGTTCTACATCCTCGTGTACGTCGACGACTTGGTCTTTGCCACAGCGGACACTGCTGGACTCGCCCACGTGAAGTCCGAGCTGCTGAAGAGACACACGTGCACAGACCTGGGTGAACTGCGCAGCTACCTTGGCTTGCAGATCACTCGGGACAGAGCACGCCGCACCATTACCTTGACTCAGTCACACATGGTGCAGCAGGTCCTTCAGCGCTTCGGCTTCACGTACTCCTCGCCTCAGGCCACTCCTCTGCCTACTCGCCACTCACTCTCAGCTCTGCCTTCGGATGAGTCCGTAGAGTCGAGTGGTCCGTATGCAGAGCTTGTTGGCTGCCTCATGTACCTGATGACCTGCACACGACCTGACCTTACATACCCTCTGAGCATTCTTGCTCGCTATGTTGCTCCTGGGAGACACAGACCGGAGCACATGGCTGCAGCGAAGAGGGTATTGCGCTACCTGTGCAGCACGTCGGGCATGGGGCTAGTGCTTGGAGGGCGGAGTCCAGTGGTCCTTACTGGCCACGCGGACGCTTCTTGGGCTGACGACCAGGCTACGCAGCGGTCGTCACAGGGTTACACCTTCAGCCTTGGTTCCGGCTCTGTCTCGTGGCGGTCTACTCGCTCGTCTTCGGTTCTCGGCTCCAGTTGTGAGGCTGAGATCTACGCCGGGGCCATGGCTGCACAGGAGCTTCGCTGGCTCACCTACTTGCTGACTGACCTTGGAGAGCCGCCTCGTTCTCCTCCAGTGCTGTACGTAGACAACAAGGCCATGCTGGCCTTGTGTCGAGAGCAGCGCTTGGAGCACAGAACGAAGCACATTGCTCTCCGCTACTTCCTTGCTTGTGAGCTGCAGCAGCGTGGTCAGTTGCGACTTGCGTACGTGGCCTCTGAGGCCAACATTGCTGATGTGTTCACCAAGGCACTCGCGCCTTGTGACCATCAGCGCTTTTGCACCCAGCTGGGTCTTGTACCTGTCTTGCCTCACTTGCTCTCCTCTTGACTTCACTTGTACTGTGACATATATATATACCTGCTCTTGCTTGTCTAGTTTTATATATATGTCTGTACTCCTGATTGTGAACTGGCCTTTGGCCCTGCTCTTGTGCTCGGACTGTGTGGTGACTTTGTGATCCACCCTGAGCTTGCTTTGCTTTGCTTTACTTGACTGGTCTTGTGACCCCTTGTTCTCCCCCACTTTGCCTATGTAGGGTGGGAGACTCCTAAGGGCAGAAAAAGAGCCCTTAGAAGAGCATGGACAGTTTCAACCACGGATGCTAATATGATCTTGAGGGCGGTGAGGCCGGTGAAATTCTTGAGGTGTGGAGAATTCCCTATGTTGCCGTCCAGCAAGTTTTTAGGCGCTTTAAAAAATGGCACGCGAGAGATACTTGAGGTAGTAGTTCCCTATGTTGCCGTCCAACAATCCAACGTCCAACGATCGATGAAAAAATGGAAGGTTCATATCCAACGATCTGCGAGATAGAACATGTGTGTGGTGGATGGACGGATTCCCCTTGTCAGATGGACGGATTCCCTATGTCAGATGGACGAATTCCCTATGTCAGATGGACGGAAGTTAGATGGGTGATGGCTGCTATGGTGAGCAGCTCGATGCTGTTGCGCTGCGCTTGGGGCCAGGGCAGGGCGCTAGCGGGGCTGGCAGGGGGATGGCGGGGGTGGCAAAGGGATGGCAGGGCGAGGGTAGGGCGAGAGGTTCTGTGTAAGAGCGAAGGTAAGCATGTTGCAATACGTGTTGAGATGCGTTGCGTGTTGCGATGGCTCGAAGAGCTGTGCTGTTGCAAGTGCAACAAGACATCAGGGACTTGGTAGCAGCGGATGAATTTGACAGATTCTAGTAAAAGGAGGCGCATAGAGCAAGAATCCGAAACAAGTGCAACAAGGCATCAGGGCTGGAGAGAAGCCTTGGTGTGTCTGTGACATGATTGTAGTGCACCCACGCACTCATGCCTCTTCGTATGTACCCACACTTCCCTCCATGCCACACTTCCCCCCATACCACACTTCCCCCCATGCCACACATCCCCCCATGCCACACTTGCCCCATGCCCCACATCCCCCCATGCCACACATCCCCCCATGCCACACTTGCCCCCATGCCACACATCCCCCCATGCCACACTTGCCCCCATGCCACACATCCTTCCATGCAACACGTCCCCCAATGCCACACTTCCCCCTATGCCACACTTCCCCCCATGCCACACTTCCCTCCATGCCACACTTGCCCCCATGCCACACAACCCCCCATGCCACACATTTCCCCATGCCACACATCCCCCATGCCACACTTGCCCCCATGCCACACATCCCCCCATGCCACACTTGCCCCCATGCCACACATCCCCCCATGCCACACTTGCCCCCATGTCATACATCCTCCCAAGCCACACATCCCCCAATGCCACACTTCCCCCCATGCCACACTTACCCCCATGCCACACTTCCCTCCATGCCACACTTCCCCCCATGCCACACAACCCCCCATGCCACACATCCCCCCATGCCACACATCCCCCCATGCCACACTTGCCCCCATGCCACACATCCCCCCATGCCACACTTGCCTCCATGCCACACATCCCCCCATGCCACACATCCCCCCATGCCACACTTCCCCCGATGCCACACATCCCCCCATGCCACACTTGCCCCCATGCCACACATCCCCCCATGCCACATGTGCCCCCATGCCACACATCCCCCTATGCCACACTTGCCCCCATGTCACACATCCTCCCATGCCACACATCCCCCGATGCCACACTTCCCCCCATGCCACACTTCCCCCCATGCCACACTTTCCCCCATGCCACACTCCCCTCCATGCCACACTTCCCCCCATGCCACACAACCCCCCATACCACACATCCCCCCATGCCACACATCCCCCATGCCACACTTGCCCCCATGCCGCATATCCCCCCATGCCACACGTTCCCCCATGCCACAATTCCCCCCATGCCACACTTCCCCCCATGCCACACATCCCCCCATGCCATTGCCCCCATGCCACACGTCCCCCCATGCCACACTTCCCCCTATGCCACACTTCCCCCCATGCCAGACTTCCCTCCATGCCACACTTCCCCCCATGCCACACAACCCCCCATGCCACACATCCCCTCATGCCACACATCCCCCATGCCACACTTGCCCCCATGCCACACATCCCCCCATGCCACACTTGCCCCCATGCCACACATCCCCCCATGCCACACATCCCCCCATGCCACATTTCCCCCCATGCCACACTTCAACCCATGCCACACTTCCCCCCATGCCACACTTCCCATGCCACGCTTCCCCCCATGCCACGCTTGCCCCTATGCCACAATTCCCCCCGTGCCACAAGATGGACTGGGAAGGATGGTAGAGGGGTAGAGGAGGGGCAGGTTGAAGGCAGGGGGTAGGGGCAATGGGTTCAGCAGTGGGCGGCACGGCGGGCAGCTCCTGCAGAGCGTTGCTGGCTTTGGGGAGGGGAGGAAGTGTCGGCGGGGGATGAGGGGAGGGGTGAGGGGTGAGGGGGACGGCACGGGAGAGCCAGCCGTTGCTCCAGCATTGCCGGTGCCTTCAATTGCAGCAATTGGAGCGGATTTAGTGGCACGGGGGTGCGCGGCATAAGGATGGATGGGATGTGACGGCGAGAGTGGGAGGGAGGGAGATGCAGAACGAGTGGATGCGTTCTAAAACGGTGCCATACGTTGAAGCGATGTGGGGTGACATGGTTCTTGTGTTGACACGTCGCACCAGTCGCTGCATGCACGGTGGTTTTGTGAATCGCTCGTCGCCGTGCGGCTACTTGCTTATGCAACACTCGACGACGGCGGCGAAGGACGACCTCGACGACGAGGTTGAGACGAGGGGGAAGTTGTTAGGATCGTACACGCCTTAGTCGACAAAAGTCTCCTTGCTAATGTCGATCGCGTTCTCCTCGTTCTCACGATTCAAACGATATGCGCAGCGTCTAAATCTGTCAACGCTTCACTAGCTCCTCACTAGCGCTTCACTGGCGCTTCGTGGGGCCTTAACGAGATTCTGACGGAGATCCCGCTCACGGGCCCTTAACGGGGCCTTCACGGGCCCTTGATGGGGCCTTCATGGGGGTTTCTGCTGATTGGCCCTTGACAGGGCGTTAACGGGGCCTTGACGGGCCCTTCACGAGAATTTCACTGAAACTTCACAAGAGCACGAAAATGTGCTTTCAGCAGGAATCGAACTTGAGTCTTTAACACAGAAGTCTCCCACACTATAGAAATAGATGTGGTACACAAAGAAAAATATAACAACCTTATATCAACCTAACACTCCCAAAATGCGCCTCGACGTGTAACGTGCCGCGTACGTTTCACGTCGTGTTGCACACTCAACCTGCACAGCTTCATCGAACGCCCTCCGAGTCCGAATTTTTGGTGCCTTGTGGACCACGCCATGGTCCAACCCCAAACTTCTCTCCTGTCAAACATATTCCCTTTTCCTATCACTTCTACTACTCCATCTCTCACGTTTCTTCCAGCCTCCTTTTCCTTCCCCATTTCGTAGATCACACGCATAGCTCCTTATTATTTTCCTAGCATTTTTGCTTAGCGTTTTCCACACGTTTTCTCGTAGATTCCGCAATCGGTCCGAATCCGCCGTCACTTTAGTGTGTTTGCGCGAACCACTCCAACAACCTCCCCTGTGGTTCGTGAACCACACACTCCTCCGTACCACTCCAATTCTCCTTTGCTTCTTGTTATCTAACTCGGCTTCATACTCCCCTGCAACTCGTGCAACTTGAACCTCGTCTTACGAGTCTTGAAATTAACCGCTTTGACGTCCAATCCGCGATAGATATTCTCCTCCTTGGCCGCTTCACCTTTGGAGTTGCTTTTCCCATCATTCCCTTCGCACTGAGGTTTCCTTTTGCAGCTTCAACTTCTTCACACTCCTTGCACACAACTTTCATCTTCGAGGATGATTGTTGCTTCTTCGGTGTTGACACGAATTTCCTTGTTCGGTTTCAACGTTTTCTCCACAAGCACATCCTCCTCCTTGACTGACATGTCCTTCTTCTGACTAGATGCCGCATCTTCTGTGTAATCAATCTCACCAAGCTCAATGAATGAACTCTCCTTCAATCCAACCTTATAGAATTCACCATCCTCATACACTTCATCCATGTCATTCAATGCAATCGAACCCATCTCATAAAAACCGTCATTGAAGTAACCATCCGAATACTTCTCCAACATAGGACCAAACACCGTAACCTTACCATCATCATAGGATACCTTGCACGCCAAATCATCAAGCCGTGCTTGACTTACGAGGTTCACCTTCAGATCCTCAACCAACAACATACGCTCAAGCTTCATTCCTCCATAAGGACTCTGCAGGACCACGTCACCTTCTCCCGTCACCGGTAGCTTCTCGTTACTACCTTGAAGAGCAAACTCCTCACTCGACTCTTTCACGTTCTCCATCCAATCATATTTGAAAGTCATGTGACGAGTGCATCCACTATCCAAAAGCGACGAATCATTCTTACGCCCATCCGTTGGCTCATTTACCTTTGGCACCCGCACCACGTTTGATCGATGCGCTCCTCCAAGGATAATATCCTCCTTAGCTCCTGATGTGCTACGGGCCTAGCGCTGAGGCTGGGAATTGTCGAGGCGGAGGTCCGGAGCGCGGGTTACTAACCGAACCGTGAGGTTGGGTCGCGTCGTGAACAGTGGCGGGAATAATAGTCGAGGTGAGTGTCGCGAGTGGTAACGGTGTACTGTTGGGACTTGTTGGCGGGAACAGTGGTGTACGCGCTGAGGAGGGATGCGAAGTAAGGAAAAATAATTTTCCTTACACTACCCCCCTCCCCTAAGGAGGCCCTCCTTACGAGAGCGCATGTACATCACGAAAATTTCGGCTGCGCAGGTACTCGGTGAGGACGGGGTGGTTCTTAATTCTATCCAAGGGAACCCAGTTGTCTTCGGTGGGCATGCGATCTTTCCAGCGGATCAGAAATTCGATCCTGCGGACTCCACGTGGATCACGAACTCGGTGGCTCAATATTTTTCGGGCGTAATGACTGGCTTTGTCGGCGGTCGTGTCATGCTGGTGGGGCGGTTGCGAGGCAGTTGACTGGTGGATGGGACAAATGGGCGAAGCAGGATGACATGGAACGACGGGCTAACGTACCAGTCAGCAGGGAGGAGGAGGTGGGCAGTGACGGGGGTGATCATGTGGCTGATGCGAAATGGCCCGCAATATCGGGGGCGGAGTTTCGGAGTGATGGGTAGGCGGAGTGTCGAGCAATACCACGTCATCGGGTTGGAAAGCGACGAGGCGGCGGTGGCGGTCGGCATTGCGTTTAGCGATAATATTGGATTTTTTAATTGTGTTTCCTGCTTGGGTCCGTGCTCCCTGTAAATTTCCACGAACTCTTGTGCACGTGGTACTAGGTTGTCGGGATTCGGGGTCATGGGCACTGTTGCGTTCTGTCCGTAGTTGAGGTAGAATGGTGACTGCTGCGTCGTGGCTGATGTGGAGTTGTTGTATGCGAATTCGATGAGTGGCAGCTGCTGATCCCATGTTGCCGAGTGATCGCACGTGGCTCGTTTTAATTGCTCCATGGTTTGATTTGTCCGTTTCGTTTGTCCGACAGTTTCGGGGTGGTACGATGAGCTGAACTGTAGTTTCGTGCTGAACTGCTGCCACAGGTTGTCGAATCACAATGTTCTGTAGGCTGTAGTGGGGTAGCCTATATGGGGTACACATTTCTAGGGTTGCATATTTGTACCACATTCCATTCCTTAGTGCATTCATTCTCGTTTCAGTTTTCACATGGTATCAGAGCAGCAGTCTCAAGGGCTGCTTGGCACGGACGTCCTTGAGGACAGGCAGGAGGAGTTCCAGTGTCTGGCTGCTGCTTCACCTCATCTCGTGTCCGTACTGCTTACCCCTGAGGGAGACCCGGATGCACTTGACATCCCGACTCTGCTCTCTTACGCGGAGGCGATAGAGGGTCCCTACTCCTCTCAGTGGCAGGCAGCTATGGATGCAGAGATGGCTTCCTGGAAGTCCACAGGCACCTACGTTGACGCGGTTCCCCCGCCTGGGGCGAACATCGTCAGTGGCATGTGGATCTTCAGGGTGAAGCTGCCGCCAGGTTCTCCACCTGTCTTCAAGGCGCGGTACGTGGCTCGTGGCTTCAGTCAGCGGCAGGGAGTTGACTACTTTCAGACCTTCTCTCCCACCCCAAAGATGACCACTCTTCGGGTGCTGTTGCATATAGCCGCTCACCGCGACTACGAGCTTCACTCTCTTGACTTCAGCACTGCTTTCTTGCAGGGTAGCCTGCACGAGGAGATCTGGCTGCGCCGCCCACCTGGCTTCACTAGGACTTTTCCTCTTGGCACCTAGTGGAGCCTCCGGCGGCCAGTCTACGGTCTCCGCCAGGCACCGCGTGAATGGCACGACACACTGAGGACTACGCTTGCGGCTCTTGGGTTTGCTTCCTCTACTGCCGACCCGTCGCTGTTTCTGTGCACCGACACCTCTTTGCCGCCGTTCTACATCCTCGTGTACGTCGACGACTTGGTCTTTGCCACTGCTGACACTGCTGGACTCGCCTACGTGAAGTCCGAGCTGCAGAAGAGACACACGTGCACAGACCTGGGTGAACTGCGCAGCTACCTTGGCTTGCAGATCACCCGGGACAGAGCACGCCGCACCATTACCCTGACTCAGTCACACATGGTGCAGCAGGTCCTTCAGCGCTTCGGCTTCACGTACTCCTCGCCTCAGGCCACTCCTCTGCCTACTCGCCACTCGCTCTCAGCTCTGCCTTCGGATGAGTCCGTAGAGTCGAGTGGCCCGTACCCAGAGCTTGTTGGCTGCCTCATGTACCTGATGACCTGCACACGACCTGACCTTGCATACCCTCTTAGCATTCTTGCACGCTATGTTGCTCCTGGGAGACACAGACCGGAGCACATGGCTGCAGCGAAGAGGGTGTTGCGCTACTTGTGCAGTACGTCGGGCATGGGGCTTGTGCTTGGAGGGCAGAGTCCATTGGTCCTCACTGGGCACGCAGACGCTTCTTGGGCTGACGACCAGGCTACACAGCGGTCGTCACAGGGTTACACCTTCAGCCTTGGTTCCGGCTCTGTTTCGTGGCGGGCTACTCGCTCGTCTTCCGTTCTCGGCTCCAGTTGTGAGGCTGAGATCTACACTGGAGCCATGGCTGCTCAGGAGCTTCCCTGGCTCACCTACCTGCTGACTGACCTCGGAGAGCCGCCTCGTTCTCCTCCAGTGCTGTACGTAGACAACAAGGCCATGCTGGCCTTGTGTCGGGAGCAGCGCCTGGAGCACAGAACGAAGCACATTGCTCTCCGCTACTTTCTTGCGCGTGAGCTGCAGCAGCGTGGTCAGTTGCGACTTGCGTACGTGGCCTCTGAGGCCAAGACTGCTGATATCTTCACTAAGGCACTTGCGCCTTGTGATCATCAGCGCTTTTGTACTCAGCTTGGTCTTGTGCCTGCCTTGCCTCACTTGCTCACTTCTTGACCTTGCTTGTACTGTCACATATATATACTCCAGCTCTTGCTTGTTTAGCCTTTGATAGATATGTGTGCTCCTGCATGTGAACTGGCCTTCTGGCCTTGAACTTGTGCTCGGAATGTGTGGTGACTTTGTGATCCACCCTGAGATTTGCTTTGTTCTGCTTGACTGGTCTTGTGACCCCTTGTTCTCCCCCACGTTGCCTATGGGGGTGTGTCAAATCACAATGTTCTATAGGCTGTAGTGGGGTAACCTATATGGGGTACACATTTCTAGGGTTGCATATTTGTACCACATTCCATTCCTTAGTGCATTCATTCTCGTTTCAGTTTTCACATAGGTTCCGCCAGAAGTTGCTGGCAAATTTCGTGTCGCAATCTCTGATGATTGCTGCTGGTATCCCGTGCAGTCGAACGACGGTCGAGTTGAAGGGTCGGGTTGTTTCCTCGGCTGTGATTGATTTCTTGCAGGCTGCAAGATGTGCCATCTTCGTCACCTGATCGACGACGACCAAGATCCCGTCATTCCCACTTGCTCCAACCGGTAACCCCGTGACGAAGTCCATTGTCACCTGATGCCAAAGACGCTCTGGGGGTGGTATCGTTTGTAACTGTCCTACTGGTCGCTGTCCTGACGACTTCATGAGTTGGCAGGTGGGACACGATGCCACGTGTCGTTGCACGTCGGTCAGCATCTCGGGCAAGCAATAATATCGCTGCAGCTGCTGCGGTGTATTTTCTACTCCGAAATGTCTTGAGGCAACTCTGTCATGTGCCTCCTGTAGCAATAATCTCCGTAGTAGGGTGTAGCCTGATATCCAGATCCTATCGGTGCCGGCTTTTATGTAATACACCCCCTTTGCTGCTGCGAACTGCTGCGAATTTCCTTTGGTGAAGAATGTGCCTGTTTGGTAGCCGTGGATAAATAGTCCTGTGAGCAGTGGGCTGGTCTGGGCGAGTAGTATGGTGTGGATTTGGGCAGCGGGGCGGGTTTGTGCATCGGTGATATTTGATGCCCCATATTTGTGGGTGACCGTCTAGTGGAAGTTCGACTCGAGGAAGTCGAGCCAACGAACCTATCGTGGGTTGAGGCGGGGCTGTGCACGAAGGTACTATAGTGATTTATGGTCCGTCCGTACTGTCATGTCTGCGCCGGTCGAGTAATGGCGCCAAACCTTGAACACATGCACAATCGCGAGCATTTCGCGATCGTGTATCGGATAATTTTTTTCAAGCGGATGCAGCTTTCGTGATTCGTAAGCAAAAGTCTGTAAGCCGTTGCCAAAATCGTGTAGCAGTACGGCTCCGATACCGATGTTGTTGGCGTCTATAACTACTTCGAATAGGCGGTGTGGGTCGGTAATGCGCAAGATGGGTGGTGAACAGAGAACATTTTTAAGGGCGGAAAAGGCAGCATGCTCTTCCCCCCCCCCACGTAAAAGCGACCCCCTTCCGCAGCAAATCCGTCAGTGGGGCAGTTAACCGGGCCATATCAGGGACGAACCGACGCACATAATTAATGAACCCTAGAAAACTCTGCAACTCCGTGATATTGGTCGGGGGGTGCTACACTTTTACTGTACCGTGTCCAACCTCTTTGGGATGATCTCAACTCCAGCCTCCAAAATAACGTGCCCCAGAAACTCTAACCTATCCTGGACGAACTCGCACTTGGAACCCTTGGTCAGTAGCTTGTTCTCGTCTAAAACTTTAAACACTGCTTCCAGGTCTGCTAAGTGCTGCTGCTTGTCGCGACTGTAGACTAGAATGTCGTCGAGGTAAACTATCACGCATTTATCTAAAAGGCCTTGTTAAGATACTAGCGTGACTTAGGCTTAGGAGCCATTGCTAATGAGTGTCTTAGTAGCTTAGGTTTTAGGGTGTAAGGTGAATGTCGAGAAAATTGAGAAGGAGAATGAGATTCA